CATTTCTTTGGAGTCATTAAGCCTGTGTCTTCTCTCCTGCAGAGAAAGGAGAGCTGTTTGTACCTTCCACCAGTTACTTTGATGTTGTCTACCTGAACCCGGACAGACAGGCTGTGGTTCCTTGTAGAGTTACAGTGCCATCAGCCAAAGTCACGCTCCACAGAGAGTTTCCGGCCAAAGAAATCCCTGCCAACGGAACAGACATTGTTTATGACATGAAGAGAGGCTTTGTATACCTTCAGCCTCAATCTCATCACCAGGGTGTGGTCTACTGCAAAGCTGAGGCTGGGGGCAAGTCTCAGATCTCCGTCAAGTATCAGCTGCTCTACGTGGAAGGTAAGTAAGACTGCCTTCTTCCCCCAGAAGAGATGGGCACTGCCTGCTGGTTGGGAGGAAAATACAAAGGCATAGGATGATATTCTACAAGCTTCTCTATGGCATTTCCAGAGCATTCTGCTCCCTTGATCCATTCCCTCTATCTTGCACTCCTGAATTTTCCCTCATTCTATGTTTAATTGGGAAGTCCCTTGTGTCCCCAGTCCTCTTAGGACTCATCGTCCTCTATGCCTTAACCAAATCTCTCCCAGCATCGTCATCCACTTACCAGCTTGAGGATGACATCCTGGTTGTGCCCAATCCAGCTTTCATTCCTTGTCCCCCGCTATTAGGAACCTCTGCTGGCTTGGTCCCACGAAGGTTCTCATTCACTTCCCTGCCGCTCCCTGTCATTCATTTAACAACCGTCTTTCTTGCCATTGCATTCTCGGAGTGACTTCAGCGTCTACCTGAAACCATCTGCCTGTTCTCTAGACACCTCCATTCCACTCTCTCATCAGTTACAACCTGAACACATAGCCAGCCACAACTGGTTGGATGTAGGGATTATAAGGACCCATCTCTAGCTCCCAACAAGGCCTCTTCTTGCAGCCTTCCACTCACTCGTTTGTTCCAAGGCTTTTCTGATGGCACAGGGATGGGCTGATGAGCAGATACTCAACCAGATAGCACTGCCCTGCCACGACTTCCTGGAGAGAGTGCCTCATCCCGTTTCCGAAATCGAGGAAGGGATTCCTCTTGCACTGTCGCTCCCCCGAGAACGCTTACCCTGATGAGGGTTGGGGAGCCCAGTGGTTAACCTCTTCACAACAATGGTGCTCCCCTGTGGAGAGAAGCATGTCTCCCAAGTTAACTGCTCTCAGAAATCAGAATTTGGGGCAGGCAATTCCTTCTATTCTCTGCTGAAGGACTCATACAGTAGGTCAGAGTTTCTAATATTCTCTTTCTAAATGATAACCCTGCTTTAACTGCCCCAAGTCTCCACCAATTCATCTCTTTCCCTATAGCAGCCAGATACTCTTATAAAAAGGCCCTTTGTATTTCCTGACTCATCGTTACCTCCATATCTGTTTCAATGGCTGTTCGCTCTATACATTATAAAAACAAGCTTTGCTAGGTTCCCATGTCATTACATCAGATAATGTCTGCCTCCTACTATACCCTACTTGGCTCTTGCCTGAAATCCTTTTGACTGTGGCCCCACTTTGCAAATTTTGTTAAATTTTATTAAAAGTACAATTTTACATGCATGGATGGGTGTTTTGCCTGCATGTGTAGAGACCAAGTGTGTGCAGTTCCCAAAGTGGCCAGAAGGCGGCACTGGATCCTTTGGGACCACGTACAAGTTCGGGATCAAAGTTGGGTCCTCCAGCAAAGCAGTCATTGCTCCTAACCACCAACCCATCCCTACAGCCCCTTTGCACTTTGCTCTGAAGGCAGAATTTGCCGGTTGAACCTGGAGCCTCATGAAAACTGAGACGACACTCTTCCATTTTCTTTCGATTCCGAGTGTGGGAGGACCTAAGGTGCCCTTCTTTCTTATGCCTTGATCTCTGTGTGGAGCCACTGCCCTCTACTTCAGGCCGCTCATCTTCCCTCACAGACCGCTCAGGAATCCTCCTCCGTCTTTTAAGCTCAGTTCTGAGACTTCAACTGCTTGCCTGATTCTCAGACTGTATCAGCTTGTGGCTCACTCAGGGCTTCTCTGTGAAATGAAGCATTGCAGTTGCTCACTTGGCGGCTGCCCACTCTGCTGGAATGTTGGCTTTAGGAGCTCGTTTCTGCAGTCCTAGTTCCTGGCACATCTCTTTGCTCAAGGCTGCCATCAATATTACCCATTGAGTGACTGGATGATCAGCAAGGCTTCTAAGGTGTTATGACATCAGGATCCTGAAGGCACAGGCAGCTTTGGTGCTAGACTGCAAACATTTGTCCTCATTGGGATATCTGGACCTCTTCTGAGGATGGGTGTCACATACCTACTTGGCCACTCCCACCCAACCAGGCTGCCTTCGCTTATTCCTTCCCCAAATCGTTCCTCCACCGCAACTTTAAAAACTTATTATGTATACAGTGTTCTTCCTGCATGCCAGAGGAGGAAACCAGATCTCATTATAGATGGTTGTAAGCTACCACATGGTTGCTGGGAATTGAACCCAGGACCTCTAGAAGAGCGGCCAGTGCTCTTAACTGCTGAGCCATCTCTCCCCCACCCCAACCTCTATCACCACACCTTCTATATCTTTCACATGATCCTGGTCAACTCGCTAGCTCCTTCTCTGGTCACAAGTATGGCAGAGCGGAGCTGGGATTTTGGATGACTCCCCCTTCTGGACTACCAACATAGAGAGGCCGAGGCAGCTCCTAAAGCAATCAAAGGGGGTGTGTGGGGGGGTATATGCTAGCGTTGGCTTCATGAAGCTATAGAAAAGGCAGTTTCCTCTCTCCAAAGAGAATGTGTGTTTGTCTTTAACATCAGCGTTATGGACCTCATTAGTTCTTCCTGCTTGCTCCCAGTTCCCAGTGGCCCTCCGTCGACAACCATCTTGGCCTCCTCCAACAAAGTGAATGGTGGGGATGACATCAGCGTGCTGTGCACTGTCCTCGGGGAGCCGGATGTTGAGGTGGAGTTCAGGTGGATCTTTCCTGGACAGAAGGTGAGGGCCACACCCCAGCCTCGGTAGTCGGCACTGAGTTTCCATCACTTTGCGAGAGAGATCAGACTTTTAGTGCAAGGTTCACAACTAGGTGGGAGCCGGGGAATGTTTAAGATGTTGCAGTCTACTTCAACATATACTATTTTCCAGAAAGAAAAAAAAAAAGGATGGCTCTATTAGGTGATTTACTCAAGATGTATGTGTAATTTCTCATTGCTCTTAGAGACACAAAAGGGGGGGGTAGACTACTTCCTTCTGAACTTCCGTCTTCACTCTCATCCTCCAGGCCTACCACAGGCTACTTACTATAACCTCCTCAAGGAATCTTCCACAATGCACAAAGCTTCAGAGCCATGGGTGGGAAAAGGGGAAGTGGCATCGGGCCTGTGAATGGCTTGGAGCAGATATTCTCCAAGCGGGCGTTTAAACATGGACCCTGTTCACAAGGTGCGGTGTTGCTATCATCATTTAAAAATAGACTTCTATAAAAGAAAGGGCAGGGTCCTTAGCTCTTGGGCATCTTCTGCTCGCTGAAATAAACGGCTCCGCTACCAGCTTTGTTACCAGAGAGGCCGTCTCTCAAGATAATACTGGGTAGCCACCGATGGGTGGAAAAGGATGGTCCCCAGAGAGCATTCCTTTCCAGCATCCTACTGCTAGCTTTTTGTTGCTGTTGTTGTTTTTAATATTGTCACACACATTCTTGCTTTTCAATAGAATGACCTTTTTTGCATTGCTGTTATTAGGAGGGAAAGTATTAAAAGTTAGTAATATTGTAATATTATAATTACCTTTATTGAGGGGACTTAACAAACACTGTTCTTATCGCTGGAACTGCCTGAAACAGATCTTAAAGGGGACACGCTTCTAGAAGAGGCGTTCACACTGTCAAGGGCATCATCCTACCCTTCCCTGGTACAATCTGCCTCCCTCTGCAGTCTCAAGGAACATTAGCCTAATTACTTCCCTGCCTCTCCCAAATCAGAGCCACAGGGAGCTGCTTCTTTCCACAGCCAGTGCTCTGGGCTCGTGACCTTAAATTCCATGAATAAGAACCACTTGGCAGGGGAAAGTTGGCAATGTGAGGATGGCACAAAGGGAAAAAAATCCTGCTTATGCATTTCTGCTTAAGACTAGTTCCCCTTAGAGGCCCAAGACAATCAATCCATTTTACATCTATAACTGAGCAGAAAGAAATCACCAAACAGCATCCTGAAATTCAAGACCCACTTGGAAAAAATGCGGCCTTGACTTGAATGATTATACAGTTAGGAGGGAAAAAAAAGCCTACAAGCTGAGCATGCAAACCGGTCTTCAGTGAGCATGTGCTTTGTGTTCGAGAATGGGTCGGGTGGATGGGAGCCCAGCAAAACAGCCTGTCCCCTCTGGCTTGAGTCTGTGTGCCTTCTCTAAATAGGACGAAAGGCCCGTGACCATTCAAGACACCTGGAGACTGATCCACCGAGGACTGGGGCACACCACAAGAATCTCCCAGAGTGTCATCACTGTTGAAGACTTTGAGACGATTGATGCAGGCTATTATATATGCACGGCTCAGAATCTCCGAGGACAGACAACAGTGGCTACCACTGTTGAGTTTTCCTGACTTGGAAAGTGAAGTACGGTCAACCGATGGAAAGCCATCTGTGTATACAACGTCGAGGTGCTTTTTTTTTTTTTTTTTTTTTAAAAAGAGCTTTGTGGGAGGCTAGTACCAAAGGTCAGACAGACATCCAAAACAAACGGAAGTCATCCGTCTATTAAAAGAAGTGCTAACTTTCCTAGAAGAAAAATGTATTTTGATTACTTTCAACCATGTTTCTTATTTTTATGCTAAGAAAACATGTCAACAACTTTGTATAATCATTTCTATTAAATGAGCAAGATTTTATAAAAAAAAGATGTAAGCTGCTTGTTGTCTCCTTTGGCTTGTGCATACTGAAGGGCTTGACAGCAATCTCTGTGGTACCCACTCCTGTTCAACCGCTTACAAGCAACAACTCGAGATCCAAGTGCTTAGATATGCCACTTTATCAAAGCTAAAGTGAGTTCATTTATAAAGGTATCAAAAATCACACATTTTTACATTAAATTGCCACACTGAAAGTACTCATTTTAAATTTCTCAAACAATTTAGCCTTTAACATAACATAGATGAACAGAGTAAGGAAGGTTCAGCTTTGGCTAGATCTGTCTTCAAAAGGACTTGAGACCGCAGCCGTTCCAATTTTCTTACACCATGCAGAAGAAATTTGCTTCGACTAGCCAAAATTCAGCATTTGAATTTTGAAAAGCTTAACCGGTAAACTCAAGCTCTGCGCAAGTCAATCTCAGCCCACGACAAACACTGGCACTGGGTTGGGAGTTCTGTACACTAGCGTAGGGGCCTGTCTGAGCTGATGAGTGTTGAGAAGGGTGTTTATAACATAACTTAATGCTTTGAAGAGTGAAGTATGTAGAGGCTGCCATCCTTACAGTGAATATTTCAGCGTTATTTATTTGATCAAAGTAAAATACACTTTCCGTCGCTACAAACTACAGTTGTTCACACAGCCTCATTTTTACGATGTGTCAACAGTTTTGCATCCCACATGAAACGTTTAAAAAAAAAAAAACAAACCTTGAAAGCTCTCTATTTTGTTTCCTATCTTCTCTCGTCTTCTACCCTCTGAAGGCATTTTAACTGCTGTAAGAGTGACTTCACAGACACTGAAATGTCTGGGGGATGTCTAGAGGATGGCAGGGAATCGCATGAAATTTTATCATAACTAGAGCATAAATGATAAACCCAACTTTGGCTAATGTCGCTGGGAACAACGTGGGAGCAGGAGCAGAGATATTCTAGGAGTTGGCAATGACGCTACAGCCTATTATCAGAAGCAAACATGGAAGGTTACGTACATCATAAACTATTGGCGATTAGAGACTTCAACACAACCACTAATAAGAGCATGCGTCATGAATATCACTTAACTACGCAGTGAACAGGCCTGCTACAACTCGGATAGCCACCTCTAGCATCCCGGATCTGTCCTAACTCCGGGGGTTATTAAGCCAGCCATTGGACGCGGGTTCATAAATACTGACATCATGGTGCTGACACATATGGGCAAGCGGGGATGGCGAGCCACATCTATCCCCTCTACCTTTCCCAGCGTCTTAGAGTCTGGGGAGGCGGTAAGTGAAATTCTGAAAGGAAAATCAAATGCAGTGTGGAGGAGTCGCCTAAGCCACTTTTCTCACTCTTTGGCTGACCCTTCAGTGACAGGAAGCATGCTCAAAGGGGCCCTCAGGTCAGCATCACCGCTCAGACTCTGGTCCTCTTAAACACGAATCGTTGGCTTAACGAGGTGCTTCTGGCCATTCGTACATGCTGAAGGCCACCTTTACTGACTTCCCTACGTGTTTCCAAAATTTGTACTCTCGGATACAGATGTTGGCTTATGGGTTCAGCACCTCGGAGATGAGCTGGCTCTGGAGAAGCACTCTGTAATAAGGGAAAAGAGGTAGGAGGTTTGCTTCTGTGACTCTAGATGGGGGGAGGAGAGGCAGATGTGGACAATGGGGGGAGAGCAGATGAAAACTGACCTCTGCGCAGACAGCTTGGATTCAAGGTGAAAATAAGGCGGAAACCACCGTTGGTACTGCCCCCTGTTCTTTATACAGATTTGTGTTTAGAAAAATTAGCGCGTAGCCTGAGAAAATGGATCGGGGTATAGTAACTAGGCTCATAAAAATCTACAGGCAAAGGAAAACCAGTATCAACTGACAAAACTAAACACCAAAACACTAACAGAAATGTACACACATCAACAAATCAAAAGGCTCTTCCTGTCACAGCCTAGCCCTGCCATGTCACAGTGCCGAGTGGAGTCGGTGGTAACTCAAGGACTATTGCTTTCTCTTCTATGGCTTCTGTTGACATGTGGACACTGGTTATAACTTGAGTAATACAGAGCCAGCTATATTCAGCTGTTGACTTTTAATACACAGCAGAGAGGGCTGTGACAGTCATGTAACACACCAGTACACCCATTTCATCCACACGCACACACACCCCTGCCCACAGTCAAAATGAAATTTAAAAAAAAATCACAAGAAGGTGTCTCTGGTGAAGAATATTATAAAGGTTATAAATCTTTATCTTAATAGGCCCCTGAGAGTTTCCCCTTATGCTTAGGTGAAGGAAGGCAAAAGAACAAGTTTCCCTTGTTCCGTAAGTGCTTTGTGCAACTGTGTCCACACCGATTCCAAAATCTATTTTCGGAGGAGGCTTTTGGACCAAGTTAAAAGTCTTCCCCCAGAGCCCCCGACTCGTAAGTAGCTGATACGGTGGTGGCTGCTTTCCAGTTATCCTGTGGAAATTCCAGAAAGCTAGTTCAACTCTTGTTCCCACGAAAGGGTCAGTCCTGCAGAAGTGCACCTCAGAGACTTCGGAGACTCTGCCGTGTTCCGGAAGCGTCATCTGGGCGAGATGCTGGGGCTGGAGAAGGAACCCGAATTCCTGGGGGACTGGAAAGGGATGGCCGCGGATGTGGGGGATCTCTTGGGGCTGCACAGGTCCCCGTTGTGCAGCTTCCACAGTAGCTCCTCGTTCTCCATGGATAGTCTCTTGTTGACCTTTGACTCCTTCTCCAGGGACTCCTGCAGCGCTGCCTGCTCTGTGGAAAGTTGCCTTGGAAAGAAAATGCAAAGACCATGTGGCATCCAAGCCAAATAGTAGCTCTTCCTGTTTAAATGTGAAGGTGCAAGAAGTGTACTTGGGGAGAATAAACAGGATCTAGGCCGGGGTCGTAGATTTTTTTTTTTTAAGCCAAGAAACCCAAATACTATAGGAAGGCCAACAGCTGGTGGTAGAGGGACTGCCTATCATGTGTGAGGCCCCTGGCTCTGGTCTGTGCCCTAAAAAAGGAAAATGAAACACCCAATACCAGAAGTGTAAAGCCTGGCCCAAAGAAATAATCCCCTTAGTAATAATGGGCAGTTCTAGCTTTCGGGCAACTTCCCAGGAGGCAGTGGGGTGCGTGCACAAGGCTTTGGCTCGTTGGGTGCCTATCTTAGCTCAAGGGCTGTTCTCTGTTCACATCTGTGATCGCTCCTTCCCTGAAAGCCTCATTATGTTGAGTGAGCTCCAGGTCGGGGAGAAGGTCTAGGCCACCTTGGTAGAAGCATTGGACTGCTACCTTCAGAGGGAGATTGGTGCCTCTCTCTCTGCTTCACTCAATGCCAGGGAGCAGCAGATGTTCAAGGATGAGAGGAGGAAAAACAGACTCTTGTAGTTTTACCTGGAAATGGCCATGTGTTTGTCCATTCGCGCTTTCAACTCCTCGTTTTCCTGCTGGAATCGCTTCAGTTTGTCGACCAGTGCCGTGTTGTTGTCCACCTTGATGTAAACAGTGGTTATAGTCACAAGCAAGGGAATAAATAAATACTCGCAGCGATTGAGTGGGGGGAACTGTAGCGGCACACTCATGCAACGCAGCAAGGCTCTGTAGCGCATCTGGGAGAGTCATAGAAAACCTCACTGCACGCGTCAAGGGACACGTCTGTCCTGCTGGTCTCTCCCCAGCCTCCGCACTCACAAACTGATCGGGTGAGAAATTAAAGCATAAGACCCACAAAGGCATGAATCACTGACCATGGCGGCAAGCTGATTCCCTTCCAACTCCTGTCCTAAAGTATGGTTTATGACTTGTTTGAGAGGTGACATCACAGCTCAAAATTAACTTGGGGCCAAAATTAACCCCAGGTCCCTGTTGTGGCTCATCTGCTTGGATTACAGGGTCTGTCTAGGTGGAACTCTTATTTTTAAGACAACGTTCATGTCCAGAAAATGTTCACGACAAGCCAGTCAGATGAAATAACTTTCTAGAAAAACATCTACAGAATAAAAGCAGGAGGAGCTAGGGGGAGAAACACCTTGAAATGCTTAGAATAAAACCTTCAAGATAAAACCACAAACCGAGGTAACTTGGAATTAAAAACAGTGGCAGTTGACCTGAAAATACTATTCTTCCAATGTTTTGTTTTATAGAGGTAAAAGCTCGACCTTTGACGTCACAAAGCTAACTACTGACAGGGCTGGCTCTCCGAACAAAACTTGCTTTCTTAGGCAATGTCCCTCATGTGATGGTTAGTTTGCCGCTTGACACCAGCTAGAAATATCTGGGAAGAAAGCCTGGATGAAGGATAGTCTCCATCAGGCTGGCCTGTGGGTATGCCGTGAGGGGGTGGGGCGGGGATCGGCTTGATTGCCTAAAATGTGGGCAAGCACTATCTGGTAGTGGCTGAGACCCCAGGACACAGTAGAAAGTGCTTGCTTGGCCCTAACTCTCGCTGAGATTTTATCTACCCTCTTGCTGCTGCTGATTCTGTCTCTGATAGTAGAGTCAGCTTCTTCAGGCTTCTGGCGTGGACTCATTATCAGGGGCTCTCCAGGATCCTCCAGGTGGCCTCTGGCACCAGCGTGGAACAGCAGTGGCACCTGGCCTTGTGGGTTGAACAAGGCTCTCGGGCAGCTACTCTGAGCTTATTATGTAAACCAATCTAGCAAACTCTCCTTTAGCGTATATCCAGTCAGCTCTGTTCCTTTAGAGGAGGAGCCTACTAGACTAAGTGTTCTAACTTCGTTAAAGGCCGGGAACTCCTAAGTGCACCATGTGGCAGTGGCCCTGGGTGTACTCGTTGTCATAGCAACCTATCCTCCTGTGTTATAAGCAGCAGTGTAAGGCTGACTGATACTGTTACGATGCCTCTTAGTCGGGGCATAAAACAGAAATATCGTGGCTTACTAGAAATTAAAACATGTTTATACTTTTAAAACAGTTTTTTATCACCAGAGATCTGATAAGTTCAGAATCGTGAATGGAAGATGGGGCAACAACTTATTAACAGGGTCTCGTGAGTCATCACTGCCTGCCTGCTGAGCGGGTGTAGCGGGATGACCTTTGCCAAGGCGGGCTACGTGTACTGGGTGGGGCTTATTAACAACCAGGAGTTTCTTGCATTCCTGACCAGACCAAAAAAAAAAAGCCACTTCCTGTACTTCTGGTGCCTCTGAGATGGGCAGAGGGTGAAGAGTCCCAGCTGTCCACGTCAGCTACGATTCTGACCCCTACATGATAGATGGGCTGTGTGCTCTCGAGCTAGAACTGGGCTGGACTTCAAATGTCAGTTTGGAGACTGCCTCGGTGGCTTGGGAGAGGTTACGCTTCATGGCGGGTGGAGGGCAACCATGAGCCTTGCCAAATCATGATGATCAGAACTGAAGCTGAGCAACCACTCTCGTTTTCGTTCTTAGGGAACAGCGGTTGAGTTGTTCTTGGCCTGGTTTACAGCCCATGTTGGTGTCATTCACTGAAGCAGCTGAAGCGTGGGGCTACCCTGTGCCTGCACTCAAATCAACTACAGTGAGCCCTCACCCGCACACCTCTGTCCTGGGACTGTGGGGTTGACAGAACATTCCGGATGGGAAGGTGGTTGCTACCTGTGCGGCCATGCTTGCCTCCATGGGGGTGAATGCCCACAAAGAGAGACACCCCCAATCATCTCTGTGAAGCCGCCTATTCCAAGGGCCCGGAACCCACTGGCCTGCCAAGCATCGGTGTGGGAGTGAGCCCCCTTGTGAGCTTACAGTCCCAGATGGGCCACATGTGGACCACAGTAAAGGGCCAAGCAGCCCCAGACAGCAACGACTAACCAACCTGAGCAGACACTAGGTTTTAAGAAGTTGGCTGCACAGTGAACGCAGAGCATCTAAGAAACACTCGTGTCTGACTGATAAACATGGATTGTTCCACCCACCCCTCACCCTCTGGCCACTACATATGTGTTTCCTATAAAAATTATTAGCACATATTCATGGTCCACGGTAACCAGACTTTATGGCGGCATTTTTGTTCCAAGTGACTCGTGTACTTTGACCATATTTAGTCTCTGCTACGCATTCCTTTCTCCCCTTGCTAGTCCTCATTCTCTTCCAGTGTGGTCCCCCTAGTCTCATCATCATCCAGACTCCACAGATGAGAGAAAACAGGGTTTGTTTTTCTGGGTCTGGCTTATTTCACTTAACTTGATCATCTCCAATTCCATCAATTACGTCTGTAAATGACATAATTTCATTCTTCATCATGGCCAAACAAAATGCTATTGTGGATTAAAAAGAAAAAAAAGCCTTCCCCCGACTATTACCACATTTCCTGACAAGGTCAAGGAGGTGCCTATAAGTTAATTTAAGCCTTACCTCTCTCAAAAAAAGCAGCTAATTATTTCTAGGAAATAAAACACCAAACTAAGCCAACCCCCAAACTCCAAACAAACAAAAGCCAAACAGATAAGAGTGAGCACCAGGCTCGCTATTGTCCAGACTGGTCTAGGTTTAAAGGAGTCACCCACAGCTAGGAGGAGGCAAGAGAGGAAGCACTGGGTGGGTGGGTTGCTGGCAGGCAGCTGGGAGCAAAAGACAGCTAAGAGCCAGGGTCACTTAAGCTGTTCTGACAAGCCCTGCCAGTTTGGTTTGTGTCCTGACTAGCACACCCTGCGTTTTAGGGCTGGCCCAGGGCTGACAGTACACATAGGACACACTCCTCAAACACAGTTGTGAAGGCTCAAATTCTAATCATGGTTGTCAACAATGCTTGCTGTTTTCCAGTTGGGCTAATCTTACCAACATGATTCTTTTTTTTTTAACCATTTTCTAATTCTTTAAAAGATAAGGAAATCCACTAGATTATATTATTATGCTAATGAGATTATTTGATATGTCCACCTGTCTCTCCTGTTCGGAGTGGGTGGTGCATTAAAATATTGGTTTTAGTGTAATTCAAAGTTTTCATTAGGCCAAGTTAAGATTCTGAGCTATTGAAATATGAGCCTGGTTTGTTTGCTACAGTTTTTCTTAAAGTAAATGTGGCTTTATATGTATTCCATCAAAAAAATAAGTGTTCTAGAAAGCCATGCTGAATCAGCCTCTAATAGATCTGGACAAGAAAATAGCCTCTCTGACCCTTTGTGTGTTTTCCAAACACCATGAAGTACAAGTTAGCCCAGACCCATAGCTCTAGCGCCATGGGCTCCAAGTCCCTAGCTCCTAGGTGACACCGTGCCCCCCTCCCCTTGGGAGGAGGTGCTCAGTCCTCCACCCTGGGAGACACATACCAGCTTTTCCATCTTCATCAGCTTCATGTCCTGCTGATGCAGCTTCTCATTCTTGATCTCTAACACGGCTTTCAGGCTTTCGAGTTCTTGCTCCAGATACATGACCTGAGGGTTTTTCTGGAGGAAATACACCAAGATAATTCTCTCACTTATGCCACACGTTACACAGTGCAGCTTCTTGTTAGAATCTCTGAGTAGACTTAAGCGTGCAGTAAGTGACTGACTTCCTTTTGCCACTTTTTTTTTCTAACACGGGTAGGGTCATGCTATGAAACCTAGACTGACTTGATATTTACAGCAATCCCCCTGCCTCGGTTTCCCATTGCTGGGATTACAAGCATACACTGCCATAACCAGCTAAATGTATGTTTCTTTGTGTTGTTGTCTTTTCTGAGACAAGGTCTCAGTCTACAGCCCAGGCTGGCCTAGGATTCACACAGCCTAGTCTGGTCTTGAATCTGTGGCCATCCTCTTGTCTCAACTTCCCCAGTGGCAGAATTAAAGGGATGAGTCATGATGCCTGGCTTAACTCTTCTAGCAGTTTCAAAGAAATAAAGAGTTCAAATAAATTTGACCTCAAAGATTTTGGTCATAATATTGACAACAAACATTTTATTTTTCTTAGTTGCTTAATAGGGATATAGATACTGCTTTCATCAAATCTCCTATTAGAAACAAGAAAACCATTGCTTACAACATAAAAACAGCTCTGGATAGAGGTGGGGCCCTCTCTAGTCCTAAACTGGAGTCTGGAGGGAAAAAAAAAGGCAACAACTTTCTCTAAGCAAAGTCAATCTCTGAGGAAAATATGCAGGACTCTGGGAAATAACGTACAGTGATTTGTTCTGAGCCCTTGGGGTTTCCTCATAGTTATGTCGGCGTGACCATATCTCTAGGGCAGTTGTAACCTACTACAGAACATACACAGTCTCCCAAAGGGACACTCGTGGTACCACCAGTACGGGGCATCCCCCACACCCTACTGACTGAAATTCAACTGAACATCTGACAATTCGATACAAATCATCTATATCCGACTATTGGCCAGATGTTAGATCAAAGTTTCTCAGACAGGACTCAGGGATTTAGATGATCAAAACAACCTCCTGGGGTAGTCGTTCCCTTCTGGAGGAATCCTGGTGGAGAATCAGAGACTTGCATGTACTTTATCCCAGTCTCCAAATTCTTTACTTCACAAAGGGGAAAAATGTGTTCTGTGGGTCAAACAACCTGTGTTGTGAAGGCTGGGAGGGGTCCCAGACCCAGAGGGGTCAAAACAGAGACCACACAAGTATCTTCAATTCCAGGTTCTTCAAAAGCAAAATCCCATGGGGGTCCTTAAAAGGACTTTGGGAGACACATAGGTAAATCTCCTCATATTCATTTGAGAAAAGTAATTTCCTAACAACTTCTAAAAGTTACTTTATTCTATGCGTATGAGTGCTTGTCTACGTGTATACATGTATGAGCTGACAACGTCAGGCTAAGGGGAGATAATTACGAAAGACTATGTATATGGTTCTCTGGAATGCAAGCAAATCCATGGAAACAGAGCAGAAGGGTGGTTTACTCAGGGCAGGAGTCCTTTGGGGAATGGAGAGTTACAGTTGATGAGTTCAGGTCTCTCTCAGGGAGATAAAAACATTCTGGAATTAGGTACCAGCCATCAATACCACACAATGTCATCAGTATGCTATAATACTAAAGTTTATGATTGTGTAATCATGATAAGGTAGGCTCTTTTTTTTTTTTTTTGGTTTTTTCGAGACAGGGTTTCTCTGTGGTTTTGGAGCCTGTCCTGGAACTAGCTCTTGTAGACCAGGCTGGTCTCGAACTCACAGAGATCCGCCTGCCTCTGCCTCCCGAGTGCTGGGATTAAAGGCGTGCGCCACCACCGCCCGGCTCTTTTTTATATAGCAAAAAAGTTTCTAGTTTTGGATTTTTCTCAGTTTCCCATAGGTAGTTGCTCGGACCTCTGGATTTGAATCTGTGTATCATTTGGGGGTTGTAAAAAAAAAATCAATGGGGCTGGAGAGATGGCTCAGTGGTTAAGAGCACCTGCTGCTCTTCCAGAGGTCATGAGTTCAATTCCCAGCAACCACGTGGTGGCTCACAACCATCTGTAATGAGATCCGGTGCCCTCTTCTAGTGTGTGGACATACATGGAGGCAGAATGTTGTATACACAATAAATAAATAAATATAAAAAAATCAATGAGCAAAATTCTTTTGTACAATAACACACAGCTAGCATGAAGAAGGCTCTAAACCACAATCACGTCTCTATCCACTAAAGAATCAATTGGCAACTGAGCAGAATAAAATCCAGTAGCAACAGAGGAATACACAACTCACCGAGTTCACCTTCTCTCTGGATATTCGCTTCTGTTCCTCGGATTTCAACTTTTCATTCAGAGCATCGTTTTCACTCTTCAGGTCATTGATTTGTTTCTAAGACGCAAACGGTAACACGTGGAGCATCAGACACCAGAAAAGGATCAAAGGTGCACAGAGGTGTAGTCCACACCAGCCGACAGCACCACGCCTGGAGGGACCACTCACCTCTAGAGATTCCTGCTTCTCATTAAGTAGATTCTCAAGAGACTTCTTTTCCATTTCATGGCTTTTCTTGATTTCTGGAAAGAGGGGACTTGGTTTTTATTTTTATTTTTAAGATAAATAACACCCTGTGAGATCATGACTCCACAGCCTGATACATACAGATGTGGAAGCTGATGGAGCACAAATTACATTCTTTTCAATTAATCAGATGTGATTCTATAAATTAAGCCACGTCTTCTTAGAATAGTTTTACTAGATAGGGCAGAGATTTTGGGTTCAATGACCAGAAACTGATGCTTATCAGAGGCTAAGGAAACCTTCAAAAATCTCAGAATGAAGGGTTGGGTCTCAAAAGACAGGCTTTTGATTTCTGGTCTTTGTGTGTGTGTGGGGGGGGGGGGGCTGTCTTCTTTATAGTTATTACAGGAAAAAAATCTAAAACTAAGCCCATTCATAGCAGGGAAAAGACAATGTTTACTAAATGTGCCTGTGCCAGTCACGTTTGTCTCCCATGGTCTGATTCCACACAGCTCCCTCTCTTAGGAGAAGTCCCTCACTAAAGGTCGCACAGCCAGTTCAGTCATACATCCCTGCTACTCTGTGAGCTGCAGAGGCTCATGAGAGACAGCCATGGCACAGCTGACCTGTCCTGGGAAAAAAAAAAAAAAAAAAAAAAAGGGAGGAAGGCGGGGATGGCTTCTCATTCCTTCCTTTTGACTTCAAGCTTTCCAACCACGGTGAGGTCACAACAGCATCTCTTGTCCATCCAACGCCCCCTGTACTGCACCACAGCCATGGTGTGCAAGACTGCTCAAGCCTGGATTCTTGTCAGCACCATGCTGGCGCTACTGACACCGTAACCTTTCCAGGACCTAAAGTAGCAGCTGCCACTGTCCAGAGTCTTTGGAAGTTGATCCTGTTTACTGAAGGCCTGACATCTCTAACTAACCATTATTTGCACCCTTAAGGGAACAGGGCACCTGCTAACAGTGAACAGTGCACAAAGAAAACCAAGAGGCCTGCCAAGTGAATGCCACAGGGTATTCTGTGCATGCGACATCTAGGAATCTCTTCCGTTTCAGGGACGATGACGCATTTCCATTACATCTCCACCGAAGTGGCCAAAAGCACCCTTGCCTGAAAGGGAGGTCTCATAGGTTTTCTTCAGCAACTCTACTTTCTCCGAGTGGCTAGCCTCGATTTCCAGCTTCGTGGTTTCATGGGCAGCGTTTAAGTTGTCAAACTGTAAGGAACAAAGAGAACGGTAATTTACCAACGGGAACAGGAGTGCTAAGCTGAGCACCCAACCAGGGATTTCATTCATGTGCGCACACCCATCTAATGGGTTTCTAGCCCATGTGTGGAGCAGCCCACTCTGGGGCTTGGCCCTCCCGCAGCTCCCCTGCATCCTCGCCAGGGAGGAAGATGGTCCAAGCTCTACAGGGTTCAATGACGGTAACAGCCAAGTCCCGCAGAAGCAGTGAAGCTGTGCCTCACAGGTCCGCCTCAGCCCCACGCCTGTCACACTGCCCACTCTGCCTGGCATATAGTGGGAACTGTGCATATAACTAAGTAAAAAGCTAAACAGGGAACCGAAAATTCAGTTTATGATAGTAATGAGGAAATGGCTTATTAAAAAGGCATTTTAAAAAAAAGTACAATCAAGTGGCTTAGTAGCCAAAATACCAAGATGCTCCCATGGGGACTGTTTGGGGGATATTTCTATACCTTCTTTAAAAAGATTTTTTTTTTTTTGGTACTGCTAGGGATTAGCCAGAGCCTTGGAAATGCTTTCAGGCTCTCGCTGCATCTCTGAGCCCTGGTCCCCATATATGTTTTATTTTGAGACAGTCTTACTAAATTGCCCCAACTTCTCCAGGTAGCTAGCTGGTGGGATTACAGAATTTTTTTTCATACTGTGGACTAAAGCCAGGGAGTCATTACTTCTGTATCACCGAGGTCATATTTGGCTATTTTCAGGCTTTGCTTCCAGCCAGGGACTAAGTTACCCATGTTGAACTTTGAAGTTTCTCTGCAGCTGAAGCAGTCTGCCTCAGCTTTCCGAGTGTTGGGGTTATAGGTATGTACCACTGTGCCTGGCTACTTCCCTCTTTTAACGCAACATCATTTCATCATAAAAATCCCAGCAGCTTTCCCCCAGATATATATATATATAAAAAAAAGCAAGGGATAACTCATTAAGAATGTAGACAGCATCCGAAACTCCAGCAGACAGCCTCGCCCAGAGCAGCCCAGCGGGGCACAGACCTGCTCCTGCAGCTGGGTCTTATACTTTTCTGCCTCCTCGATGTAGATGTTCTGAAGCTTCTCGCACTCTGCTGTGTAGAATTCCTTCAGCCGGTTCTCCAGTTCTGTCCGGTCCGTCTGGTGTTGCTGGTTTAGTTTCTGGACAAATCCTTCATATGCTGTTTGTAAGTCATTCCTGGCCTTTTCCAGCTTCTCACAGGTGCTTGAAGCTGCGACTAGAGAGGACGTAAAAAGAGAGAAAGAGCCTTTAAATCTTCTCAGTGTCTGAAACACACACCATTTACACACCATTACAGGTCACCGGGGCACACCTCTGCACAGAACATCAGGATGCTGTCCCGTCCTCACTTTCATTCCCCAGGCATGAGGCAAATGGTTTCCTCAACAGTGTGCTCTCCCTGCCGTGATGGCAGAAAGGAACGGCATCAAAATACCTCCAAAACCGTGAACCAAGATAAATCTTTTCTCTCTGTAACCTCACACACAGGTAATGCGTTTTGATTGTTGCCACCATTCTCCCACCTCGGAGAGCCCCCTTCTTCCACACAGTGCCTGTCCTTTTACCGGGTTTATGTCACTGTGCATGCTGTCCTCGGGGTTTATCCACACTGTAGCTTATGCCACAGCTGCCTTTCCTTTAAGGCTGACTAAGACTCTACTGTGTGTACACACTACATACTGATCCACCGATAGCATGTAAGCTGTTTCCACCACCTGGCTACACTGAACATAGGTCCTACATGAACATAGGTACAGCAACAGCTGCATGCTTCCTGCTTGAATTTTCCTGTGTCTATATCTGGAAGAGGAATTGCTGTTTCATAGGGCTAATTCCACTTTCAGTTACTAAGTGACTTTACAATGTAATGAGCAAGATTTCCTTTCTCCACATCCTCACCAAAACATATTTTTTAAAAAAAAATATAACACAAGTAGCGGGTATATAGGAAGGTTTAGAGGAAGGGAAGGCGGAAATGATACAGTTGTAATAATCTCATTTTTTTAGTTTTAAAGAAAAATATATAGAACATCCATCTTAACACATCTGAGGTGAGACATTATGATTTTAATTCATCCAGTGGGGCTTTAAGTAGAGTCACTTTACAAATAGATTGATAAACTTCCACTATAAAGACTAAAAACTTCACTCCCACATGATCTATATCTAAACGGTACATACTGTGCCTTGGGTACTAAAAGGTACACAAAGAAGAGCCAAATGTGGTGGTGTGTGCTGCGTGCCTGCAGTCCCAGCATCCAGGAGGCTCAAGCAACAAGATCTTTGAGTTTGACACCAGCCTGGGCTACATAGCAAGGCTATCTCAAAACAACGAGCAGACAGACAAAAAAACCAATGCACAAAGCAGTAATGTTGGAGGGACGAGCCAAAACAGGGGATGAAAACCAGAGGGCAGGGGCATCCTAGAAAACATTTGGGATTAAATACTGTAAGGCTCTTTTTCTTTAAAAGGATTTAATAAAAGATAATGGATGGCTTTCTTAATTGCTATCAAACACCCTCTTCACACATATCTTCTTAATTAAAGTGTTTATCAAGGAAGCAAAGATATTCGAGATGTCCAACGTTACTCTATTACATCTAACACTAGTTTCTGCCAGTTGACCTTCCAACATATAGAAACAAGAAGGATGGATGCCTTCCCATGAGGTCCCTTGTGTGTCTCAAACTAGCTTTTTATATGGAAAAAAAATCTATAAAAATTGCTTCATAGCCAATCAATGAGGAGATCAGTTTCTAGTAAGGGAAATCCCGTTTTTACAATCTCATACATCAGCAAATAACAAGCCAAGATGGCCCAGCTCATCCAATGACTCACACCAGACACAAGCGTCTTGTACACAAGCGTCTAGAATGGAGCATCCCGGCACACGCAGTACACAGCATCTCCGTAGACCCCACCCCTCTCAAGCAGCCTGCGTCTACTGTGGGTGCACAGGGCTATTAAATGCTACCCCTGCCAGTTTCCTGCATCTGCTTATACTCAGAATACTGTCAGCTTGAAGACATAATTGCAGTATGTTGGTGTTTAACATCAAATAGGATATGCAGAAATCCTCTCCCATTAACCACTGGATAAGGCTGTGTTTGCTTTGTCTAAACACATGGAAACCAGTAGCCCAAACAGTGTGCAGCTTTGCTGGCTCCTGTGAGCTCCATGAAGAGGGAACAGATTGGGGGAGGGAGGGGGACCGGAAAGAGAAAGCGAGAGATTGGACTGGGGAGTGGGTGGCTTACTGCTGTTACTTCCAACAAGCAAAGGGCAGGACAGCCCCCAGAAGGTGACATCAGCCTGCAGCTGTGCAGGGACCTTCTGCTGTTTACAGTGCTGTGTACAACAGCTGGGCTACACTTCACACTCGCAAATGGCTTTAGTTTGGACAGAGGGCCCAGGCTCTGAAGGAAGCAGTCTTTGGCGGAGAGACTCCTGAATTCTTTTTTAGAAGGATGCACATGTAAACATTGTGTTAAGGGCTCTCCGGGTGCTTGCTGTCATCTGCTGAGACATACTACATGTGTACAGTGGGGGAATAAGGACTGTGCCCCACATTTTAGGCTACAGATTTTCCCTGGTTTCTCACAGCATGGAGAGGTTACAGGACCACCCGTGCTGGCTCCTGCCCATCCTCAGTCTGCCTTCTTCTTGCTTCTTTGCCAGAAGTCCACTGCTTTCAGTTTATCTGACTACTAATAAGGCTAAAACAAAGCAGAGAAGGCCATCCTGGATTAAGAATAAGTGACCAGGGAGTTTCCCCATGCTGCCAGGAATAACTGTTTTAAAGAAGTTACTACATGAATAGAAAATCCACCCCTCACTTCTACCCCTCACCCAGTTCCCAGACAGGGTCTCACAGGAGCTCTGGCTGTCCTCCTCGAACTCACAGATCCGCCTGCCCCTGCCTCTGAGGTGCTGGGATTAAAGGTGTGCGCCACCGCTCTTTGTAGTAATAAGAGCGGCGGCGGGGCTGCATTCCCAGCACCCCGGCCACCTGCTCGGCTAGCTTATGCCCCAAAATAATTACACAGACACTGTATACTTTTAAGCACTGCTTGGCCCTTTAGCTCTAGCACTTACAGGCTAATTCTCACATCCCGATCAACCCATCTCTAATAATCTGTGAGAACCGGTCTTACCGGGAAGATTCTAGCCTAGTCCATCCTGGGTTGGAGCTTCATGCCGTGTGTCTGCCCGGGAGCGGGGCATGGCGTCTCTCTCAGGCGTCTGCTCCCGAGAGGAGAGATGTCGAGACTCTGACCTCACTTCCTCTTCCTCCCAGCATTTTGTTCTGTTTACTCCACCCACAGGGCCAAGCAGTTTCTTTATTGGCCAATGACCTTCCTCCATCAGCTCTTGGCTTAGAAAATCTACTGCATAGGTCCTTGTTTGCAAACATCCCATTGGCTGAGTTTTAAAAGCTTGTGCATGATTAAGCACACACAGAAGAGATACTTGATGTACTCTTGTAAGGACACATGCTTGCAAGCTTTAGAAGCTAGCCCCAGCAATCTAACTTAAGAAATTTAGCCAGATCAGGGCATATTGGTGCATCCCTTTAATCTCCCGCACTTTGAAGTCAGAGGCACATGAGTCTACATGAGCTAAACCACAGCATGGTCTAATAGTAAGTTCCAGGACAGCCAGAACTACAGAGTGAGATCCTGTCATATATATATATATATATATATATATATATATATATATATATATATATATATATATATATATGGTGGACACATGATATCCTGTCTTTGGGAAGCTATAGTAGGAGGATAGGGAGTTCAAGACCAGCCTGGGATAAATGAGGAATTCAAGACCAGCCTGGGATAAATGAGGAGTTCAAAGCCCAGCTGGGCTATACAATAAAACCATGCAAAACCATGGCCTACAAATGTGGCTCAGTGTGAAGTATGTTTATAGCATGCAAAATTGCCTGGATTCAATCCTTAGTATCATAAAGAGAAAAGAAAAAAAAAAGCTTTTAGACTCAAAAAAGGAAGTCATAGACTCATTTCCAAAATTATCTCTAAAGTCTAAACCCATGTTAAAGAGAGAAGTTGGCACTTTTACTCAGAGATGCATGAGCCCCGAGACAAGGTCGAAGCCAAAGCAGGAAAACCGGGGAGCCCCACCCACCATGCCATGGCCATCGAGATCACAGCTATTATTTGAGCAAGGAAAAGTCACTGCCCAAGAAGAAGCCATCATCTGGATACCATCTAGAAAAAGGCCCCACTGTACGGTCAAGTCTGGCCTTGGGAAAGCAGAATCATACTTATCTGAGGCCCTTTGTCAGTTACCCCTGGCAGAGAGGAAGTGAAGCCCTGTGTAATTAGTTCCCAGGGATTTTTGTAATGGGGGTGGGGGGCAGCTGAGCTGATTATTTCCATCCCATAGAGACAGATTTCCCTTCGCTGACTGATGGATGTTGTTATGGAAGAAAACATTACACAGCCAGGGTCTGAAAAATGTCAGTGTTCTTGGAAATGACACAGAGCTGCCTTCTTGTTGATACATCGGTAGCTTGCTTCACAGGGGACAGCCAGCAGTATTTTCAACGCTTGAGAACACAAGCACCTCCACAGAACAAAGCCAGAGTACTGGTTCCAGTCTCGGCACTCCAGCTGCCTACCGTGGGATTGGCAAAGGTGGCTCACATTTCTTCACCTCTAATCGAGACAACCCTGGTACTTTCCCTATGGAACTGAATGTAAGTGTCTGGCTCGGTGCTCAACCATTTAAATGTGTGTTACGTTACTGTTGCTGTTACCAGAGGACTCAGACCTAAGTATAGGTCTTAGAGACATGCTTGAAGTTCAAAACAGAATATAATGGTTATTGAGTTTGAACTTCAGCACCCCACCACCTCCCACACACTACATACACATTTAAAAAACATGATTTGTCTAGGCTTAAAAATGATAAATATGAAGCTGGGTGGTGGTGGTGCATGCCTTTAATCCCAGCAGTCAGGAGGCAGAAGCAGGAGGATCTCTGTGAAATGAAGCCAGCCTGGTCTACAGAGTTCCAGGACAGTCAGGGATGTTACACGAAGATCCTGTCTCAAAAACAGAACAAAATGTACAGAGAGAGAGAGAGAAAGAAGGAGAGAGGGAGAGAGAGAGAGAGAGAGAGAGACAGAGACAGAAGTATGGTTCTGGAGACTCCTCCTAAAATTGGCCTACTACTATTGTTCT